GGGCTGTCACGGTCCACTTCGAGGGGGTCCTAACGGCCGGTCGAGTCAGCGTGTTACTGGCGTCGGGGGCTGGCCACCTCCTCTGGACGGGAGCCCCCGCAGAAGCGAGGCCACGCCGTGACGTGGCTGTCGTCCCCTCGTGGCTCTCTGGGGTCAGACCCCCCTCACACTCCGGCTGCTGCCCCGCAAAGCACCAGCGACACACCGGCCTGAGCTCCCGGTCAGGGAGCGTGGCAAAGCTAGTGGGACCATGCAGGTCTGGGCAAGCGCCCAGGAGGCCCGTGGGCCATGCTCACATTGCAGCCCAGGCCACAGCGGGCTAGCCAGCGCAAAGCCAGCAGGGCCACGCTTAGCCACGCTGCAAAGCAGCCCCCCAAGCGCACAGCACACATGGCCGAGACGTCACAGCCCCACGCTGGAACGGCCAGCCCTCTCCGCGCTCCCCTGGTGTGTCCCTGCCAACACCAGCAGGCTCCGGGTCTGGCTCCACTGTCCGCACACAGGGCGTTCGTGCCAAATGCTGCCCCCGGGCAGTTCTGTCTCCCTGTGGCAGCGGCTCAGGGCCCGGTGCTTGGAAGGGGTCTGGCGGTTCCTGTGTCCCCGCAGGGACCCGGTGAACCAGAGCCTGTTCTGCGCGCTCGTGTGTCCTTCCAAAGTGACGCTCACGCCAGTGTCCATTTCCCCCTAGACGGGCACCTTAACGGAAGATGGACTGGACCTGTGGGGGGTGATCCCTTCGGAAGCAAACAGGTAACGGCCCTGGGCCCGCGGGGGGTGGATTGTGCCGGGAGTCGTGCTCGGTCGCTCTCCTTCCTTTCGCAGCAGCCGGGGGACCCCAGGCTGGGATTCTCACACGTGGCAGGCTGAGTTCAGGCCCGGTTAGGAGTGATGGACATTGGCGACTTTCCGTGGCCTTGTGAAATGGGTGGCCCCAGCCAGCTCCTGCAGAACAAGGGTCCCTGTCCCAGGACACCACCGTGCCTGTCCATATTTCCTGCCTCTGCTGACAGTCCCAGCGGACGGAAGGGCCCAGGGAGCCAGGGAGGCTGAACCCCCCTGCCCACAGCTGAGGCACATGGGCCATCTGGCCGGGTCTCTTGAGGGCTCCATAGAGGTTGCCGGTTTCTGGTACTGTCCACTGAACACTTTGCCCTCGCTGGGGCCAACTTCATGACCAATGAAAGCTTTGCTATTTCAGCGCCACTAAGCCGCTCCCGGAGAGGGGTGGGGTCCCCCGGGTCGCGGAGCGGGGTCACAGCGAGAGGAAGTGTCGTTAAGCCACGAACCGCAGCGACGCGTCTGCTTTCTTACAAACCAGCTTTCAGAACGTTCACCGCTTCGCCGCGGGGCACAGCTTGTCCTGGGGACCCGTGTGCGGCGCCATGGCGAGCTGCCATTCCCTGCTCCTTCGCTCCCGGAGAGGGGTGGGGTCCCCCGGGTCGCGGAGCGGGGTCACAGCGAGAGGAAGTGTCGTTAAGCCACGAACCGCAGCGACGCGTCTGCTTTCTTACAAACCAGCTTTCAGAACGTTCACCGCTTCGCCGCGGGGCACAGCTTGTCCTGGGGACCCGTGTGCGGCGCCATGGCGAGCTGCCATTCCCTGCTCCTTCTGGACGGGAAGATACAGGGAGACCCCCTGGACCTGAAAATGTTTGAGGCAACTAACTGGGTAAAGCCTGTTTGACTGTTGCTCTAAGATGGGTACTGGCTCCGGGGGGGGGGGGGCTTCCTCCCTCCCGGGTGCAGGGCCATCTCCCTCAGAAGAGCCAGCGTTCTCACCGCTCCGCTAGCTGCCTTTTCCGGCGGACCTTAAGCCGACCTTTGGCTGTGTGGGGCAACTGGCCTAAGTGGCCAATGTGATTAAGTGCAAACTAATGGCCCTCGGAAAATATCATCCCAGCTGGACACACCATACGATGGGGGCTCAGTGAGCTGTTACCGCCAAGAGAGATCCCGGAGTCACTGCGATAGTTTTCTGTAACATGCACTCCACGTGCAGCAGCAGTCAAAACAGCAAACGCCATGGTAGGAGCCATTAGGAGACACCAGAAAATACCATAATGCCACTCTGCAAATCCACGCTACGCCCACACCTTGAACGCTGCGTGCAGCTCTGGGCAGCCCACCTAAAACAGATATATTCAAATTGGGAAAAGTGCCGAGAAGGGCAACCAGAATGTTTAACAGCCCATCTGAGCAGAGATTAAAAAGACTGGGAGTGTTCAGCTTAAGAAAGAAATAACTAAGAGGGGATATGATAGAGGGCAACAGATCATCACTAGTGTGCAGACAGTAAGTGGAAGAGTTATTTCCTCCTCCTCAGAACACAAGAAACAGGGGTTGCCCAATGAAATTAACAGGCAGCAGGTGTAAAACAAACCAAAGGAAGTATTTCTTCAAACAATGCACAACCTGTGGAACTCCTTGCCAGAGGATGTTGTGAAGGCCAGGACTTTAACAGGGTTTAAAAAAGAGCTGGATAGATTCCTGGAGGTTAGGTCCATCAATGGCTATTAGTCAGGATGGGTAGGGTATCCCTCGCCTCTGTTTGTCAGAAGCTGAGAATGGATCGCTCAGTGATTCCCAGTTCTGTTCACTCCCTCTAGGGCACCTGTTGGAATCAGGCTCCGGGGCTGGGGGTGGACAATGGATCTGTCCCACTGTGGCTGTTCTTCTGTCCTTGTCTAAGTTGCATGGCCTGTGTGCTCTTTAAACACCAAATCCACACCCGAAACAGAACCTGCTGCGTAAGCAGTCACCTCCCGAAGGACGTATCTTGTCAAGGGGCACAGTGTGGGGAGGGGTCCTGGGAGCCGGGATTTCTGGGTTCTGTTCCCAGTTCTGCTATTACCTCCTGCATGGCCTTGGGCAACTTGCCGCGTGCCTCAGTTTGTCCTTCTGTGGGCTGTATAATCTAGCAACATCCAACCCCCCAGTAAAGCATGGGAGTGTTGCCCTCCCCCCCGGCTCCCATCTTCTGATTCTGGCTGCACCCCGGCCTCCTGCTGCCCTCTGGCTCCTGCCGTTCCCTCTCCTGCTCCCTCCTGCCGCCCTCTGGCTCCTGCCGTTCCCTCTCCTGCTCCCTCCTGCCGCCCTCTGGCTCCTGCCGTTCCCTCTCCTGCTCCCTTCTGCCACCCCCTGGCTCCTGCCGTTCCCTCTCCTGCTCCCTCCTGCCGCCCCCCT